GAGCAGAGTGGCGCAGTGGAAGCGTGCTGGGCCCATAACCCAGAGGTCCGTGGATCGAAACCACGCTCTGCTAAAATGGTTCCAATGTGACCAATTTCATTTTTTTTTCTTATAAATGTAATCATACGTTTCAGTACATATTTTACACACCCAAGATAATGTGATGGAAATTGAAATTTTTATCGACAAGGGAAAGAAAATTTACTTGCAACGCTGAACGGTACTTGGCGACTTTGTGACAGGATTTTAATTCAGCTGCGAGGGCGTTTACATTGCTGGTTGGCTAATTTGCAATGCAAAAAGAGACTGGAGTGTGTCCTAAAGTCCCGTAAGCTCGAGACACAACCAGTGAGCAATGACATGCACAAGGATGGATGCCATTCCTCTGTCATTGTCCGCAAAGAAAAGATGAGACAACGAGTTCAGGAGTTCACCAGAGTTCACGGGCGTAAATTTGGTGGGTGTCATATTCGCTTCGCGAAGTATCTCTTTAGGGTTTAAAAAGGAACTGGCTCTGACCGAGATACACCAGGAAGAAAAACCATCGAACTACCGAATGCCACTCACGATATTACGGCCATAAAAGAATATTCACTGATCGTATTTTTAAACGATACATTTCATTTCTATTAATACATTCGTTACATTCTCTTATATTAAAGTAATTTATATATTACATGAACGACGCATTATTAAAAGCTTACAAAATATTTGTACCCTTCTCTTTAAAATATGCACATACGTTTGCAACGCTCGTTTTGAAGACTTCCAATGTCAGAAATTAACTGGCTTTACAAAATTGGTAAAGCGATAGATATTCACAATTCATTCTTAATGCGTCACGTCACTTAAAGCAATTACGTCTGTCTAATTGCAGAATCATAAAAGGATGCTAGCTACTATTAATTTCAAATTTGTTACCTCAAGGCCTATTATTATAAGGCAATTCCATGTTTATTTATTCAAAGTATGCATCCATTTTTTAAATTGAAATTCTTTAATATATACGATGCATTAATTGCTCTTTCGAAGATATTACGATACATTAAACCTTAATATAGACATACCAGAATTGTTATTATCATTTTTTACAGAAACAATAGATCCCACATCCTGATGAAAGTATGAAAATAAGTTGCAACATAGTGCAGAGATTGAATTTACAACGGAGTAGAAAGTACGTATTGACCATTACCTATATTCTATACGGCGCCTACTCGCAAGTATTGATAGTATTTACTCGCGCTCCTTATAAATGGAATATCAATAAGATCGGGCGCGTAACCCCGGGTCGGCATTATTTAACGTGAGCACGTCGTACACGTGACAAAGTGGCTTGACCGCTTGTCAAACAGGCACAAACATGAGCTTTCATGGCTCCGAAAGACCGGATCGGTGCGGGTCGCGTCGCGTGGCGTGTCGTTACCGTTAAGCATAAGCATCGAATTTGCACGTGCTCGTTCCTTTGTACACGCCCACGTTCGTCATAAATCATGGACAAAGCATTAAGGGCTTTGTAATTTAGAGGAGAACCTCGATTATCCCATTACACTTTAAGAAAGGCTCCTATTTTCAGGAATTTGTAATTATATGCTGATTCATTCGAATTATTGTTACCGTTTTAAAAATTGTCGGCCAGCATCAACCAATTATTTAAATGGTAGACTTTTCGTTCGAAATGATTAATAATGCTAAAGGGAGACATTTAATTGTTATAATTAATGACCTTTGTTCAAATTTTAAACTATAGAACAAAGTTCACAAATATGAAATAAGATGAGGTCGGACAGAGTTTCAAATTTTAATATCGTGAAGAGTTCATTGACCGCACTATTTCTTAGAATAAAGAGATCATTTTGTGTAAGGTTCGGACAAACTATTAATTCAGATATGAAATTCGTGGGCGCTATATATTTGACCCAGATACGGGTACCTGTATTAAATCTTACTCTTCACGAGGGTGACGGATGCAGTCTAATTGTAAGATGCCTTGTACCCATGTATTTTACCTTTGCACATTTTGTTTTGGGTTGTCGACGGCGCTTCTCATCTCTAGTATATATACGTTTATTTATATACTTCGACCTTCCTTTTCCGTTTAGCTAAACTCTGCCAATTCCGCGTGAGAGCGAAATTATTTTGCTGCTTTCATCAGTATGTGTAATATTTCTTCTTAATTATTTACTGAAAGTCAAGCTACTATAC